TGCTGAGGAAGAATCCAGAGGCAGAGAGAGGAAAGGGAAAAAAGTGGGTTTCTGCTGTACAGAACACTAAAACGCTGTGATGCAGAAATATTCTGTTATCACCATGGGAGACTGAATAAATAAATAGCACAAGCATGCATGTGTGCACCAGTGTGTGTGTGATTCAGATTTTTATTGAAGAGATAAAGACAGAGCAAAGTAACTGCAAGGGAAACAAAGACCTAAAGAGAATAGATCAACAGGAGAGTTGGAGAGAAAAGAGAGGAAGACTATGAGAAGAAGTGATGAATAAATAGTTACAGCCCCATGTTTGAGTGGCACAGAACCCACACAGTGTCTGCAGCCCGGTATCTTTATGTCAACAGAACTTGGTGTGCAAAGTCTAAATGGAGGTTCCAGTGTGAGGGAGACACGGTGCACGGTTTGAATCCACAGTCACTGTCTCCAGCAACTGTCTCTGCTCCCCAGAACGAGGCGATGGAATCCAGGGCAGGTGCACTTCATCTCCCAGGAACTGCACACTAGAAAGAACTTGGGCCTAATTTTAATGAGGGGAGAAAACGAAAGGCTGCACATTTTTTGGCAGAATGAGGGTTTCTGGTTCAGTTCAGAAGAGAGGGAGCCTCTTGGAAGACAGGTGAAAGAAGTAAGTCTGGGAGGTTTTCAATAAAATATTATTTCGGTTGTCATCGATGTAGCACAGTGACAAGACGTTTCCATATACAGAAAAGGAATACAGGACTTTACGGGCACAGGTTTGGAAAAGAATATGGTCAAACATTGTCCCCAAAAAGGATCACCCTGGGTATGAGACCATCAAATGTTAGCTGTACTACCACCTACAAGGTGTCAAAATGTAGAGAAAAATCCATTTTAGAGAAGATGACATTGATGTTCTCCGCAAAATAAATACATTTTTCATCAGATGTGCCAATGACTGTCATGTTATCTCTGAACAATCTTAACACAGAATTAATTCTTGTTAATTTGTAATTTCAAGAATGACATAATAGACCTAACAAATTAGTAAAATATTTATTTAGTTGTTATACAACACAGTTCTTATAGTTTCCAATATATACAGTATAAACTACATTTATTTGTTCTGTTTTACACAGTTTGGGCTTCTATTGTTTTTTATATGCTGCCTTTGCAAAATTGCTCTTATTGTTGATCATTTATTTGATTTAGATGTCACTGTGGGCATCAAAGTGAATATTTTTCTTACTGTGGATATGAAAACTTTGAACCTTGAATCTCTCTTTGTTCCTTAACCATTGTACTTATTTTCTTTTACTTAGAATGAACCACTGATGCCATGACAACCAACTACTGCTGCACTTTTTTATGCTGTACTGGGGGAACTCTCTCTCTCTTGAACAAATAATCCAGGACCTGCAGGACTCCTCCAATACCCACACGTCTCCCTGCAGGAGGAGAAACAGGATCTGCTGTTTGTTTGTTTCTTCCTCAACCAACAGAGAGACACGATGAGAAACGCACATAAGTTTATTCAATCAATTGAAATGACATCAATGTCTGAAACATTATATAATCTGATGAAATCCCAACGTTCGTGACAACCTCTCTGTCTGTGGCCAGATTGGATCTAGTTTAGAGGAATGAAAGGATGACAGATTAGTCTCTCTCTCTCTCCCTCGCTCTCTCCCCCTCTCTTTCCCACTCTCTCTATCTCCCTCTCTTCACTCTGTTGCTGGGGGACCAGCGGAGTTGCATCTTCTGCTGTGCGTCGTTGCACTTTTCTTTTTCCTCAGGTGCGCTCCCCCTCTTTGCGCACCAGGACGCGGAGAGGAATCCCGGAGTTCGCCGATCATGGGGTCAACATCCACATCTTCATCAGTTCCAGCAGTACCACCGACAACACCCTCCTCCTCAACAGCATCATCTTCCTCAGCATCATCCTCTTCACTATCAGCGCATCACTTTACTTTGCGCTCGGCGGCGCAGCATCTTCAGAGGAGCGCACTGAAATAAAACTCACTGGCTTCTGTCGCTGGTTTTCAAATCTGGGAAGTTTATATATTTATTTAATGAAAAAAGCTTGTGGAATGGAGATCCGAACTTTCCTGCTGTGGAGTCTGGCTCTGCTCTTTGTCGGGGGAGACATTTTTACCAGGTGAGTCCAACCCTTTTACTTTTTTTAAACCTTTGCAGATCCCAGGTTCTAAATGAAATCCGTGATGACGTAGGGAAAAGTTGACCGTGTGAAATCAAAAACCACCACAGGCAGTATTGATGATCTCACAAGGAAAGGATTACAGTACGTTGTCAGGGTGCTGCAGCTGAAATGATAAGACTTTGACTGTAGAGGAATAATCACGAATTGATGTTTCAGAAGCTGTAACACCCTCTTCCTTGTCCCCCCCCCTCTGGTCACGTTGATTCCTCCTTACTGTGTGTCCTCCTCCCCCAATCTCGTGATGCCTGAAGCTAAAAGAATCGAATTTACACTTTACACGCCACTATAAAAATACGGTACTTCACACCCACGACGCTGCACCTCTGCTCTCATTCTGCGCACATGGACTTGATGACTTTATTAGCATAATGCATATGCATAAGAAACAGTGGCTGCTGTTCGTTTAATAGGGAGAACAGGATGGGTGAGTGGGTGTTTTGAGGGTGTGCGTATGTGTGACAGATAATGTCACCCACCTCTAGGCCTGATGGTTAGGGGTCAAATATCAGACAGTGCCTTCTGGTTGGTCAGAGGCCTCTGCACTGTGTGTATTTTAATAGAAATACTGCAGCACACAAATGTACTGTACAGTAACTGCTGCTTCTAGGCAGATAGACTTTGTGGTTTGTATCAATGCAAACGTATTTTAAATGATAGAATAATAAAACGTTGTAATGCTATGCAATATTTTTTTATTTGGTATCATTATTAACGGGGGCCACACCATGGAGAGGTCACAAGAAGGTCACTGGTTTGATCCCTGGTGGTCTTTCTGTATGGAGGCTGTGTGTTCTTTTTGTGCATGCATGGGTTTTCTATGTATATTTTGGTCCGAAAACATGCAGGGTTGATTTGGTTGGACACTCACAGTTGACCATAGATGTAATTGTATAGTCAGAGTGAATACTTATTTGTCTGTATATGTGGCCCTGTGTTGGACCAGAGTACTGTCCAGGAACAACTGCCCTCGTCTGATGACTGCTGGTTGACTGTTGCCCCTTGTGACCCTGAAAACTATTAACACATTTTTAATAGGCCACTAGAAATGCTTCGTTCAATTGCAGAAATGCTGCCCTCTGTTGATATTTTCTTACTTTCCATTTCTTTTGTAAATAGTTAAGAGGTGTTTCAGTGGGAGCCTTTTCATTTGGAAACTGACTGTACTGTTTTGTACTGTATAGGTGACAGTCAAGCAACTCAAGAAAAGAAAATAAATAAAATGGTGACAACTGAGTGATAACATATTTCTATAGAACATATTTCTATAGAAACATTCCAAATAACTTTAACAATTTTAAAGTGAGTTGAGGTCAGATTGCAGTTGCGAAGTTTAAAGTATTTTTGTACATAAAGAGGATGTAAATACAGTTTTTGTTGTGACACAGGTGGAGGTGTACATCTCTATAACTTCAGGTACATTTTTATATCCAGTGGGCAAATGCTCTGCCTGAAAGAAAAGATTTTCTACTGATCAATGCCTCGTATTTCCATGTGTTTTGAACTAAAAGCCTCAAAAGTTGCTGTCTTTCAGTGTATTTGCACAAGACATGAAAGGTTTGGACAGCGATTCTCAAACGTTTCCTAAGGAACTGTTTTTTTTAAGCTAAATGTTGTGGAGCCCCGTGTGTACTGAAGGAACTGTTTTTTTTAAGCTAAATGTGGAGCCCCGTGTGTACTCTGGACATATTCACAACTGTATTTTTCCTATCCAAAAACAAAATAATTATAAATGTAATTCAAATCCATAAATTCTTCCTTTAGTACCAGTTCTGGCCTGGTCATACAGATTAAAACGCAGGATCTTTATCATTTTTCATTTTGTTTGTTCCTAATAATATCACACCTACATTTGAGATAAAACAGTTACCACCAGCAGCAACAGCAGCTGCAGCTGGAGCTATAGCAAAGACAGAAGCTATTTAAGGTCTGAAATAATTTTGCCACATTATTTTGCTGTTGTCCCTCTTGGCCATTCACCAGTAGAGGGGGCAACAGCTTCTGTAATCGGATTTTCTGCTTCTTTAGCCACTGCTGTGCTTATTGTGTAATGAGTACAATGCAGGATGTGGGCTTTTCCTTTGCCCCGCTGTCTGTTCTCCTTCTTTCTTCTCTTCTTACACACAGACAAACCTTCTTTTTAACTCACACCTTATTCTTCTAATGAAAGTTTTCTTTCTATGCAGCATGGATTTCACAGCATTTATTTACATGACAAGTGTCACTTTCCCTCCACTTTTACCAGTGCAACATGCATCTAATTGGTGACAGAAAACCTGAAAAGTAGACAACAAGAAGCAGCAGACTTAAAAACATTGTCACCTATCAGTGGGAAGGTAGAACCTCACACAGAGTAAATGCAATTATATAGTAAAGTATACTGCACAGTATCATCTCACTGAGGCAAGACCCCCCCCCCCCCCCCGGTGTCATATTTATATGGAGGCTGCTTGGTAACTTTTGTTAGCCAATTTGTTTGTATTAAAATACTGAATAGAATCCCAGCAAAACACACAGCCAACAGCAAAATGTTACTGCACAGAGTCCAAAAATATTTAATACTCAAATAGCGGCTAATGTGTCTGAATCTGTGATGAAAATGGTCCCAAAACGTAATATTTACTCCAGTACTTTTAACCCAGTTTCAGCCAATGGTGCTGAAGGAGGAGCGAAGAAAAAACAACAACATTGTTTTCTGTTTTGTGAAGGATAGATTTAATATTGTAGACATATATATATAAAATATATAAAACACCCACAGACAACTACATAAAGTTGAGTTTATATAAGTAAATATAATAAAGTTCTGTTGCATGATATATACACATTCATATTTAACATTTTTATTTGTTATATAATAATGGGCCTTTGTTTAATTGAACACAAGTCACAGTATGGAGTAGTTAAATTAAACCTATTAGAGTGCCACAATTGGCCCCTGAGCCGGACTTTGAACTCACCTCGAACTCAGGTGTTTGCTGATGTTTGACCTCATCTTAATAAAATAGCACAGTGATGATTAATGATAACTATATTAATTATGAATGCATTTTTGTAGCCTTCAGTATTGGCTTCACCTGAACTTTTTATTTCTATGACAGGAGCTTTGTTTTCATGTCCGGTCAGCTGTGGAGTTTAGACCAATGGAAACTATGGCAATACTGCTATATAGAATATAAACTCACTACACGACTACAGTATATATACTGAGTATATTTACATAAACTCACTACACGACTACAGTATATTTACTGCCTAAAAAACAGGTCAGGTGGTTGTCACCGACTCATGTTATTGTTGCAGATAGATCAACAATATGTAAGTGGGTGGGTCGGTACGGCACGGGGCTCTGGATAATTAGAAATTGTTGATATTTTCATGACGTGAATCTATTAACCCGTTTATATATATGTTTCTCAATGATATAACATAACAACAAGACCGTTTTTGAGTTTAAAGTTTAAAGATACACAAGAACATAAAATTATTTTAACCCTTTATTTGTTAATTCAAAATTAGCTGGAATAACTTTTAAAAAGTGAGCAGTATTTTCTAAATATTATATACTATATAGATTACATGCTTAACAAGCTCACTTTTGTTCACACCAGTTTGGCCAATAACATTGTCTCAAGTGGTTAAAATAAACCAGATTACTTACCTATAAATTCTGATAGATTTACTTACAATAAATTGATAGTTTACCAATACTGGTAAAAATGTTTTACACTGTGGCTTCTAGGACCAAGTTTATCACTTTTTTTACCACATGCTAACTGGGTTTCTCTTTAGCTTCAGACGGTGGTAGACAGAATTTAACCTTGAAACCTAAATTTCAGTGAATGGAGAGTAGGACCTAGAGAGATTGATTGAGGTTCAATGATCAAAACAAAGGAATGTGTAGCATCTTGGACTTTAATCTAAAAGTAGAAGACAAAGACCTCTCCCAGGATCAGTTGGTGTTTGAGCAGGTGGAGCTGCAGACATGTTATGTTTGTGTGGCCATGATGTGGATTCAGCAGTGTAAGCTATAACAGACATGTGACGCAGCAGGACTCGGTGCCAATGCTCTCACTGCATCACACTCGTCCTTACACCTGCGCTCAGGTGACACACTTGTCTTCTTGGCTTAGCCGTGTGACTAAGGCTGAGTCAGCAGATTATTATCCACAGAGTACAGACAGAACAGGAACACTGTCATCTGATGGTGGTAAGGCCTGACGCATCGCTGTTTCCACTAAAAACAGCTCAAACATGTCAGATGGTCTTTATTCCTATTGGTTAGATTTATTTTTTTTATTTTTATTGGATTTATTTTTAAGCTGTTTTGATAATCTTATACCTGTTTATGTTTTTTGACAGCTGTATTTCTGGTTAAACAAACATTCAGTCAAACTAATGAATACTAAATGAAAAATGAATACTAAATAAAAGCAATATTTATTTGGAAAAAAAACTTTCATTACAGAAAAAAGACACATGGAATAAATACATTATTTTATTCCAATATTTAATTATCTAAAATATGACAGCATGTAGAACATTCCAGCACATTCTCATTCAATGATTACATGGGAATGTGTTTGTGTTTAATGACTAAAGGTCATGTAGGTCAGCTGATCACCTGATTTTCACACCTTCCACCCACTGTCTTAATGACACTTTATTGAAATAATGAGGAGAAGTGGTTCTTCAGGCTTTTCACCCAAAACAGATCATTACTCACTGACCTTGACATGAATCCTGCTGACGATTCCTTCTAGAACAAAGTCACCTGTCTCACTGTAAACCTTCTCCACCTACGTCTAGGCTGACCTCCCCGCAGGGAGAGAAACTGAGGGACGGCTTTCAAATGACTCAGGTCTCATAGTGTGATACGTCCTAATTTGATATATATATAACATGGCATATATTGTTATATAAAATGAAGTATCTATTTGGGGACTTATCAGTGAAGGAGACAGATATGATTTATAACTGTCTACTGTCGCTTCCATCAATATGAGCGGCCATCTTTTAATTTGTATTTATTTATTAATTTGACTTTTTAATAAAAACTTTAACACAGACTGACTTTTACACACCTTTTTAAATAAGTGTAAACTGTGATGTTTATATAGAGGAGGGAAACCAAAAGTGGGGAGAAGGAAGCTAATACAGCACAGTAGCACACATTAGCTTAGCCAAAATTAGCAAACAAGTAGCCAAAACAATGTCGAATTAAAATTGAATTACATTTATCAGCCAAAACAATGTCGAATTAAAATTGAATTACATTTATCAGAGGTTGAAAAGGACATCTAAAACCCACAAGGAACTAAATGCATGCCATAATAAAACACAAAAGCTATAAATTAACCCCCAAAAGAAATAAAATCACAGAAATAGATAAATCCAAAGTGTCTAAAATATTGAGTATAGTTTCACCTTTTAATAAAATATTTTAATATATATATATTTTTAACTTAAATGCATTATTTGCAATATTTTGTATCACAGTTTGATTGAAAGTCTGTTAAAGCCCACTGTGCTGCATCACCTGCTACAAATGTCAACAGATGAAATGAAAGACTGAGTCTCAGAGTAAAGAGAAGGATGTGACACTGTACGAATGCTCAGGAAAATCTCTGTGTCAACACATAAAACTAATTAGCCGTGTTTGTGTTTGTCGCACATCGTGGTCACAGAAGGACACCATCAATTTGAGCGGCACTGACACTATTTGTCTTTCCTCCACCTTCCCTTTCTCCTTCCACTCCTTTTCTCCCTCCATCTGTTTAATGGCAGCTCATAAACAGACGGCTGCAGATCCCGGCCTCGGGAGAGTCATTTAATGAGAATAAAATACCAAAGATTGAGCTGCGTCTGATTACAAACACTCTCCTCTCTGTTACAGTGCATGGAAGGTTGAGTAAACAATGACCTGTATATGATGAGCCCGTCTCCCCCAGAGACCAATTGAATGTTCAACCCTGACTTTTCTGAATTTTAACACAGACAGCTGCGGTTGAACGGACGTCAGCATTTCCTCACTGTTATTGTCTTGGCCACCTTGACCTACTTAAACAACAAGAAATTCCACTGCAACGAACCAAAAAAGGGAAAAATATGTAACAAGTAACTTCAATTAATAACTTCATTAAAATAAATATGTATGCACAAATGAAAATATAGCATAATACAATCGGAAAGAAAAACTGAAATATTCACACATTAGTATTGGTAAAATATAAGACATTAAGTTTTTGTTATTGTTGTTGTTAGCCTTGAACAATTTGCTATAATTTCTGCTATAATATCATTTTCTGTGCTACTACTTATGGCTACTTTATTAGTACTTTATTAGCTAGTTTAGGACGTATGACAGATGGGAATTTGTAACATTTTAAAAATAACTTTTAGTTACAATTATAATATCTGACATTATTTCTTGGCTAATTTTGTTAAGTTTAGTTTAATGTTACTTCTGGCTAATTTAAGCAATTCTGACATGATTAGAGAACAAAATACTAATTTAACGTTTGGTTTGTTTGCTATTTCTCATAGTTCCAGAGATAATTTTTTACAATGTTTTTGTAAAATATCTAATGACCATGTTTCAGGTCATATTATTAGCTGTAGTTTAAGCTTTTTGTTTGCTAACATTAAGCAAAATATAAAGACTTGCGATCTTTGTATTCCTTGAACCCTTAGTTGATGTTTTTACTAAGCTCTTGCAACAGTAAGCAAAAAATATATTTAAGACTGACATTAAAATCCCACAACACTTGAAATATTTGAGCGCCAAAACATAAAACCTATTTCTGTCTCTGTTGTGATTTATTATTAGTGATTTATGCCGCAGCTTGTTTACGTGAGATTATTATTAAATTACACACAACTTAACCAAAGTGGAAGTATGTCCAAATTTAGCAGCTGTCAATGAGGAGATCCAGTAGTCACACAGTGATGATTGTATTCACTCCCTGCTCCAATTTATGCCGCACATGACGACGGTAGCCTGACTAAAAATACACCGGCCTCTTCAAAATGGATTCATTTCTAACAGAGCAGGGAGGACGGAACAGGAAAAGAAGAGGAAAAGAGCAATAATATTGTGGTTAATTTGTTTTTCTGTGCAGGTCAGTGTTTCTTTGTAATGCTTCTGCTCTGCGGTTGCACGACTTTGCTGAAATGTCAGCCTAATTGAAAAGGTCGCTGAATGGCTTTTTGGTTGTTGCTCATTAATGACACCTTCGATCAAAGCACCATGTGGTCCATTTCCTCGCTAATGTCACTGCCGGCCTTTTTAAAGTTTAAATGTCACAGAAACCTTCGATCTCTCTCAATTTGTTTGTCTCACACCAGACTGTGTTTCCTCCAGTCTACATCACGCCTGAAATTAGCAGAGCCTGAAGTGACTGACATCTTATGCAGGTGAGATGGAGTAAACATGAACAAAGACAGACTGTTGTCCTCACTGCTGCAGATCTGAATTGTATCGCTGTCATGGAACCTGTTTAAGAATGCAAAACTGCCACCTGGTGGCATCTGAGATGTGCTGCTCTTGTCATTACAGTGAAGCTTATGTTAAAACTCCCACCGAGGCTCCAGCTGACAGTCTGGGCTCTGGGCCCTGGAGCTGTCCACAAACAAGGTCTTTTGGGCATAAAAAACACCAAACACAGACACGCTGTTCTCCAAACGTCATGAAAACTATAAAGACTACAGAACAAGAACTGACCAGAACAGCACACTCACAAACAGATACAGAACAATGATCCCACCAAGACAGCGTGAGGGAGCGAGGTGTATAAAAACCCAGGGCACCAGGTGACACCAGTGAGACTGATGACAGAGACACAGACACAGGTGAGGGTGATCACACTGATTACTCCACCCAGCAGACAGGACAGCGAAGGGAAACACAGACAGCCCTAACAGTGACATTACCAACAGATGTCACACACATTTTGTATTTGTAGAAATCCAGACATTTGTTTATTAGTGATTTAGAGCCAAAAGAATTTGAGAGAGCTGTGAGTCTGTGAGCTATTGATCCTGTGCAAATCACCTACAAGGGCAACTAATAAGCACATTCACTTATGGAACCTAATGCTATTATAGTATTATAACTAGTCATACTTAAAGCACAGGGTTCAAATTATAAAAACCGAAATGACCCTTTATGAATAATGCACATTTCCAACTGTTTTAAGTCAAAATAAAATAATGACTCCTCCTTGTTTGAGTATGAATTTAAAGTGTAGAGGACACTACAGGTAAATGTATACAGAAGTACACAGAAACACCATCAAGTAATTAACTGGTGACCTTTTTGCTGTAAGGAAACAGTGCTATCCACTCTTCCACATTAATGAAGGTAGATTCACATTTTAGTGGTGCTGTTCATTTTGTACAATTTATCCAACGCACACACACACACACACACACATATATACAGCCTGCATTTATTTATTAATTAAAATGTCAGCTTTTGATTTTTAAATTCTTCAAAGGAAATGTTTATTTACACATCTCTATTGTGTGGAAACAAACTACAAATCAAATTAAAAACCTACTCTAACACACAATTCACTTCAAACCGCCATCACATTTTTTTGTTTCGTGCACCCCCTAGTGACATCTTATGTGTCCTGCTTTTGTAGTCCCTGTTCCAAACCATACATCATAGCAGATCTCACTACAGTATTATAGACCTTTCCCTCTACTGTTGTGCACTGTCAGTTTTTGGGGTATAAAAACTCGTCTTCTAACAGGCAGCTTCACCTTTACACCTGTCTGTCTCTGATATAACGTAACAGCTTTTCTCTCCTGTGCAGGTCTCCATCAGACCACCTGCTCCCCACATTAAAAAACAGCAAACAGTCTCTGTTCTGATTTTGTTTGTGCTCCGACTAAGGCTCCACGTGTCCTGCTGCTGTGGACACACACGGTGTGGCTGGACCGACTACTGAAGCCTCCTGTCTTTGCTGTCTTTTTCCTTTAGGGCCATGCTGAGTGACATTGGCGACTATGTAGGTACAGACATTCAAATATCCTGGTTACCTAATCTGGATGATTTAATGAAGGGCTATGCCAGAAATTTTCGCCCTGGGATAGGAGGTGAGTATGAGATCTACTGCTCGTGGCGTTGGGTCACATTTCACCACCTCACATTTACAGCCATCCTTAGCATAACTTGAGCCAAGATACACCAAGATGGATGCTGCATTTCATTTTTCACCTTTAAAATCCTGCAATAATTCGGCGCTGGGGTAATATGGACCGTTTACAGACCGGAGAACGATTGATGGTGCAAAGAGGTTTGCACCTCTTTGGAGACTTTGCTAAGAATGGCTGCAACATGTGAAACCTTCAACGTCCACAGTGATAGATTTCTCAATCTCACAGCTTAACTCAGCTGAGCACAAGGTGAAAATGTAAAACCACAGACACATGCATGCAACTTTGTGGAGCCATTACACATCTGTAGGTTGTAGCAGTGCAACAAACAGAGAGGCTGTTATGACCATTGAGGAATCATGTCTGTAGTTTGTCTCCATTCTCCACATTAAGTTCACAGCCCATGGTCTTTTGGTGTCGATTAGTATTTGTGTCATAAAACACCGAACATATTCTGTGTTAAAGAGCTGAGAAAGAAGCGCATGAACGTTTCAGTTTTGCTCAAGATCCAACCTTAATAAACAAGTGTGGCAAACTGGAGCAGTGCAGCTTCCCTCAGAGGTTAGGAGGTTAGAAACCCGGAGACTGTATATGCAGTAAGAACGGGCCTGTGGGTGGAAAGTAAAGCTGGAAAAAGACTTGCTTCACTGGTTTACTAAATAAACACAGCAGAGAGAGAGAGGTAAGCAAAAATAAGCATTTTATTAATCAATGTTTGTTTCATGGCGCTCATCGTGAAATTCCAACCCACTTTACACATATGATCATTTAAAACAGGAGCAACCAGGATGCAGGTCTGATTCATATGAAGGCCTCTAGTCATGCTTTACGGCTCTATTTAAATTTGAACTGTAAAATGTACCGTACTTTTATTGCATCGAATGTCTGCATATCTGTTTTATGACACAAAATCATTGTCACGTTAACATTTCAGTGCATTCATTTAAGACCGAGCTGAGTTAAAGGCCCCATAACGAGGCTCATCTTTATTCACTCTTTCTCTTTTTTTTTTTGTGACCTTGGCCTTCAGTAAACCCGTCGCTCACTAATTTATCCCACACCATACATTAGATAAGCAGTCAATAGAGTATCGTTCAACACAAACGGCTCTGGGAAGGCGTTAAATGGTGGGGAATGGAAATGTATGATTCCTTAATGTTCAGTGTAGATGGCCTTTCTGTTCTGCCTCGCTGAGCTTCCCCTGCACTTTATGTCCTTCAGCATCACAGAGGTTCACTCCATGCTAATCACATGGCAAAGTGATGAGGGAAAATGTGAGTGAGTGAGTGTTTGTGTGTGTGTGTGAGGGAGGGAGGGAGGGAGGGAGAGAACTGTTGGCACAAGCCCACCACGAGAGCCCAGTGCTGTTTGTGAAAGCCCTCAGTGTGATGTGCCACTTAGCATGGTTAAACTGGATAATGCTTAATCTCTATGCGCTGTAGGAGTGTTAGAGAAGTGGCAGAGTGGTGGGTGGGAGGGAAACAGATGGATGATGGAGTGAAGTGATGATGGGAGGGACGGGTGGATTCGGCTCGAGCAAGAATAAAGTGGATGTGTGTGGATAGGTGTGTGTGTGTTTGTTCTTTGCCTTCTTTTCTCACCTCTCCCTCCACAGGACCTCCAGTCAACGTGGCCATGGCCATAGAAGTGGCCAGCATTGACCACATCTCCGAAGCCAACATGGTAAAGTCCACCTTCACCGTCTGCGTCCTTTGTCTGCGCCATTACTGTCACAAAGATTAAAGATTTTCTATTTGCATAATCCTGATTCGTACGACTCGGGGGTATGAAACAGAACGGCGTGGACGTGTGTGACCCAGTGGCTGAGTTGTTAGATAATTTGATATTTCAGGGATTTTCAGCAGTAAGAACTGACTCTGGTGGGTTGATCGCTTTATGTAAGCAGACTTGGTACTAAATCCTCTTATCATAATTTCTCATTTGAAATAAAGCCAAAAACGTACATAAAACCTGCTCAAAAATATTGGAAAAGGAGCTGAAAAGTAGTTAAAAATGAGTTGCTGTAAAAATCAGTGAAAGAATGGTGGGAATTAACTTAGATAATTTAATTTCAATAAGCCAATAAAAAGCCAATAGAGTAAAGATTGATTAAAATCAGCCCCGTGTGTCTAAAATGGCAAAAGGTAAAATATAATTAGCTACAAAATGACTGACAAAATGAGTACTCAAAATATCCCAGAATTACGGCAGAAAGCTCCGTCCATACAAAACCAAAATGCAAAATATATACTAAAATACCCCAAAAATAGCTAAATAATTAAGGTAGTTTGTGAATAATGTCAGGCCTAATAAGCTAACTAGTTATCCATAAACAAGTGTAAAATTGATCACAAATAAATTGAAGCATACCTATTAAAAAACATAATAGTTCCAGGGTAGTATAGGTATAAAAAGTTAAAAGTAATTTGTAAGTTGAAAAAGTTGAGTATTCTTCACTTATGAATCAGCGAAAGCTGATCGAAAATGTAACTAAAAGGTTGAGTTATAATAAAAAGATAAAGTTAGCCACGTGGTAACAAAACATGTTCAGAAATATTATCCTTCAAAGAGCTAACATTTAGCATGATAGAAGCAAAACACCAGTATAGCTTACAGTTAGCCGAAGAGCTAAGGACTGTTGACTTAAAAACCCCAGCAAATGATCTTAGTGTTGTTTATTTTTGCATGACCTGTTTGCATTAGTGAGAATCAGACCAAATATACACTTGCTAAATGTATTACAGTTTTCCTTTTATTCCCAGAGAACTGAGTCTGTATTACAGTAAATCACATGCAGTACTTTTCCATGTTCTGGCTCTGTTTCCCATAAACATTTGAACATTCTTGACATTTAAATTTGGCCTGTGTTCCTGTATTCCTGACTCAACCTTTTTATTCCTGGGCTTTGTGTGTGTTTATGCGTGTGTGTGTGTACCCACGTGTGTGCGTGTCTATGTGTTGTCCCTGGCAGGAATACACCATGACTGTATTCCTGCGGCAGAGCTGGCACGATGACCGACTGGCCTACAATCACACCAACAAGACACTGGGTTTGGACAGTCGCTTTGTGGACAAGCTGTGGCTTCCCGACACTTTCATCGTCAACGCCAAATCCGCCTGGTTCCACGACGTGACCGTGGAGAACAAGCTGATCCGTCTGCAGCCCAACGGAGTCATTCTATACAGCAGCCGGTATTAAAAGAGAGAGACGTTATTGTCCCCAAAAGTCAGAGTCCAACAATCAGACCATCATTACAGAAATGTCCCTTTATATTAAACTGTGTCCCTTTTTGAATGTGTAAGGGTGGACAAACTGCCGTGCTGTGATATAAGTAATAAAAGTTATATTTATTTTATGTGGGAGTTTAAATACTACATCTATGGGTGTAGTTAGCTTAAAATAAAAAAAGATATTTATTGCAGTTACATCACATAGCTCCCATCAAAAAAAGTTACTCAAGAAATCTATTTGATAAAACAAAATACATTGACATGGGTATAAATAATGTTTCTCAAATGGTGGGGCGAGACACAGGTCACTTGATACAGTGGTCACTATATTACAAAAGGCCCCAAAGCTGGATCCAAAAGGTATGAGACATTGTGTCTCCCAAACTGACTTACTGTCCCACTACATGTCCTCATTATTCTGTACAGTAAATAATGTATTTGTATTATCTGAGATTATTGCTCAAACTAACGATCTTATCCCTGATCTAATCTCTTTCCAGAATTACGTCAACTGTGGCCTGCGACATGGATCTGACCAAATATCCCATGGATGAACAGGAGTGCATGCTGGACCTGGAGAGTTGTAAGTTTCAGCCTAGAGCTCACTTTCACACAGAATTTGATAAAAAAAACTCTTGTTTTACAGTAGAAATCTCTGAGGACACATTGTATAGACAAGTAATTCAAATTTCTTTCACATTGCATCAGTGCTTTTTCTGTGCTTTTTGTGATGTGAAGGTTCAGATTGTCCTTCACGTTGGTTGATTAATGATGTCTGGTTGTCCTGTCCCCAGATGGTTACTCTTCAGAGGACATTGTCTATCACTGGTCAGAGAGTCAGAGACACATCCACGGTCTGGACAAACTGGAGCTGTCACAGTTCACCATCACAGACTATCGCTTTGACACAGAGATGTTGAACTTCAAATCTGGTCAGCAACATCTTGGTTTTCTTCTTCTTCTGTTCTATTAAAACCTAACTGTTTGTTTCCAGGCGGGGTTCTTGCAGGAGTTTGGGATATACTTGGGTTTGTTACCTTTATTGGTCTGTGCAGATGAGCACATTTCATTAGCATTCATCGAAGTCCAGATTGAATGGGACAAGGAAATGTGGTTCAGGTATTCCAGTGATTTAGTCCGACACTGGAGTATCTTGGAAAAACGTCCTATTTCATTTCATATAACTGGTCTGAAAAACGTATTTATTTACTGCAAATACTTTGATTTCATTCCTCAATGGGAAGTGACAGGTAGAACAAATAAATACTCCTCCGTTAGGGGGCAGCAGATGGCTACAAAAACTAAGAAAAGAGAGAGGTAGAGAGCCTCAAAGCTTCTGAAGATAATTCATTCCTGGGATTATATCAGGCTTGTGTTCAACTAAAGAGGCTAGGGTTTACGCTTTTGTTTGGTCGTGTGTGGTGAGATTTTTCTAGAGTAAAATCTATGCTGTCGCTCACATAGAGCTGGGAACCACTGATTGATACAGAAGTAACAGTTTTACATCCATTTTTACCTCCAGTTGGTACAGCTTTGGAAAAGTACCATCTTAAAAACGTGGACATGGCTAATGACAGGAGAACTCAGCTGAGGTCAGGTAACCAATCATTGGAAGGTACCAGTGATGCACTAACTGTCGTAGGAATAATAGGTGATAATTACCAGTACCAGGTGTCTGGCAGCATCAATTTGCATCTTATGTTAAGACATATTAGGGAGTTCTAAGTTGATTGTGTCCAGATTCTGCCTCTGATTCTCACTGGTTGACCTGATTGGCACAAGTGTTTTCTATGCCGTTCCTCTAAAAGAGAAAAACAATACAAACAGAGACTTAACCAGGTTCATTAGGAGGCAGAGAACAGGAGACATCTGGACCTATTTTGGCTGTTTGGAGTCTGGAGGCGGTAATGAGGCTGTGAAGCCTCCGCTGCACTCACTAACATGATGCAATTCTCATCAACATCTCACTGAATGCATTATTATGCACTCCTTCAAACAGCACCAAATTAATAAATGCAGTTTATATTAATATAATGTATAAATAACAACAAAATATGAATGGCAACATATTTGGTCATTTATCTTTCTGACCCTTTACCGAACCTTTTTTTTCAGTATATTGTTTTAAATTGTTAACTACAAGCCCCAGTGCTTGTATATATAAAAATAAATCTAATTCTTTTTGAAGTGTTTCTTTTTCTCGTCTGTCTTTCCCTTTTAACTTCAGGCACTTCTTTAGGGTTTTTTTTAATGCAAAAAGTGGAATGGATCCAGTCAGACTTACTGCTGAGCCAGGCAGGAGGTTTATGAAATGTTAGGAGAAGCTTCTGGTGAGATGCTCCGTCTGCAACGCTACTTTATCTCTTACATCATCAGCTTCTCACCACCAGGGGCACAACAAGCCAGCAGACAGCCACACAAACAAACACTGCATGATATCGATGTCGGAGAAGAATAGTTAGGTATTTTTCCACACGGAAAAACCAAAATAATTAAAAGTAACATCTGTTTTTGTGTCTTCATCTCCTCCCAGCTGGACGATTTCCGAGGCTCAGTCTTCGCTTTCAGCTGAGGCGAAATCGAGGCGTCTACATCATCCAGTCCTACATGCCTTCTATCTTACTGGTTGCCATGTCGTGGGTGTCGTTCTGGATCAGCCAATCAGCAGTCCCTGCACGTGTATCCTTAGGTCAGTATTACTATTAATGGTTTACTTTCTGGGCATTTCCCTTCAGTAGATGGCGCCACAGAAGTAGACCACATTTCTGACGCAACTCTTTCTGAAACTTTTTAAATACCAGAATACTGACATTACCCTCATAATTTCACACGCTTTTTTCTCTATAGACAAAAAATTGTAAATGGAGAAATTCTGTGATTAAAGTCAAACTAATTAAAACAAAAAATAAATAAAACAAATAAAAGTAATGCTAATAAATATATAAAATGAATAAAATAAAAATACAAATAAAATAACTACCATGTTTTATGATTATTCTGTCCCACAGGTATCACCACCGTCCTCACCATGACCACACTGATGGTCAGCGCCCGCTCCTCTCTGCCTCGAGCCTCGGCCATCAAAGCTCTGGATGTTTACTTCTGGATCTGTTATGTGTTTGTGTTTGCCGCGCTCATCGAGTACGCCTTCGCCCACTACAACGCCGACTACAGACTCAAAGAGAAGGCCAAGGTGAAAGCCAACAAGTTCAACTCTGAGGTGAGGAAATCATTCCCACCATGCACTTCTATCTGCACTTGAAGCAACATCAGAGACAAGCATCAATTCCACTGTCCTTGACCATGATGATGGATGTCTAAAAGAGGATAATAGAAAAAAATAAAAGATTGTCCTACTGGGAACAGAATGTTTTCATGGTTTGGTCAATAGAACATTTGGTTCTGTAATAAGATACTGAACAATATGATGCTAACAATGCAGGCTAAAGTTCAAATGAGTGGGAAATAACTTTATATCTGCAGAGATGTTTACCAGTAATTTCTGACCGCTGTGTTAACAACATCTACAGCAGGTATGTTGAAAGTCTGGCCCGGGGCCAATTGCGTCCCATAGTTATATTTTTACAGCCAACGGTTTTTGTCATTAAATGCATCACTTGAGGCCTGCAGACAGACAGACAAATTTCAAATTCCTGGATTATTTTCTCAGAGACTTTCAGATAAGTAACAAGTGTTTCCATAAAACAGTTAACTTGACTTTAATTTTAATGGATGGAAGAATCCAGAATAGTTGGTTCTCATGCACGTTCACGTCATCAAATATGGCTCTTGCACACCCCTGATCAACAGTCTACATGCAGACAGGCGTAAATTATTTTTTCAAACATGATCAGTTTATCTATGAACTCGTCACCTGAGCGTTGCTTTAGCTAACACTAACATTTTCTTCTTTACAGTCTATTGTGAAGAATGGAAAACAGGCCATGGTTCTCTTCTCTCTTTCTGTCACTGGCATGAACCAGGGTGTGGTCATTTCCAGCCGCCAGGGCCGGACCCAGCGCCCCAGCAGTGAAATCCCCGGAGAGGGCGGCACGGAGGAGCCGCAGCCGAGGAGGAGAAGGTCCAGGCAGACGGAGGAGACGGAGGAAGGGAAAAAGTGCTGTTCCAAATGTGTCTGCAAACCCATCGATGCCGACACCATCGACATCTACGCCAGGGCCGTCTTCCCTTTCACCTTCGCAGTTGTGAACGTGATCTACTGGGTGGCATACACCATGTGAGCGGCCGCTGTCCACGGGACTGTATATAAAAAGAAACTGCCGGAGCTGTTCGACACTGGCTGACTGGTGCAGCTGAGATACATATACTGCAGGCAGCAGTGGAAAAGGAAAACTCCAGAGGAAATGAAGTGTTGCACTTTGTGAATGTGGAAATATGATAATTAACGGAAGTAGTGCGAGTAGTATGAGTTCAACGGGACTTTAAATCTTTTAATACTATCACTATGAGCCTCACAACTCAGCCTAGAGTCCAGATTTCCATATCATTTAGATACATGACCAGAGTCGCCGTAGGAGACGCCACCACAGCTGATGATTCTGTTCTTATCAGCTGCACCTCTGACCACATGCTCACATCCGTAAAAACACAAACATAGCTATCTTTACTAAGTCCTATAAGCCACATCCTGGAGTCAACCGCCTGTTATCTTCAAAAGTCAAGGCACCACCCACAGAAGACACTGGGGTGCTTCCACTATTCTGCATGGCTGATAACTCACTTATCCTCTCTCCTTTAGCGCCTTTATCCACTGGGCCTCCACCCATATTTTTCAAGTCATCTTTTGTTTTGGACACTGTGTAGAGTGTCTTATCTCCTCCTGCCAGTTCTGCCTGTTTCCTCACCATTAAAGGACTTCCTCAATCACCTGAGTTTGCAATTTGGTGTTTTTTTCTTGCAAGCTTCTAATAGTCACCCTTAACAACTGACACTTTCAAATATCTGGTTAAACATGGGGTCAAAAAGGTCACGGATCAGATCTTGCAGCACAGTATTGTCCAAGAACCCCAAAAGATTATTGTAACATATACATATACTGAAAAATTCTGAAAAATATTTTTAATTGACAACAAAAATAATAATATAATAAAATAATAAAAGTACAATGGAGAAATCTTTCAATATTCCAGCAGAGGGCTTGACTTGTGCTCTCTACTGGAATATTGAAATTCTGAATGTAGATGATTTGGTAAAGATCAACAGATCAGTAACCGGGGCCAGGAGCAGATAGATGGAACGTTTGTGTGAACTAAGATAAATGACAGGCAGAAGTCATGCATAAAGGCTAAAATGCTAAAAATGCTTTTAGCACTTTCTAGGCCATCTATTGTGAAAACTCTGCATTGCAGGGAAAAGACAGAAGTATAATAATAATTTTGATGGGCCGGATTAAAAAGCCAAATGGGCCATATCCGGCCCTCAGGCCGTATTTTGTCCATACCTGTTCTAAGAAGAGCTGTAAATTAAACAAAATAAAATAAATACTCCCATAATTTTCCAGAGTGAATGCAGGATCAATAACAATTACAAAAAACATTCTCTCTGTTGTGAATGTACCTTTCATTTATATTTTTAACTATGTCTTTAATATCCCTAAAACATAATGGCTTTATCTGTTTATTTTTATTATAATGATCCAAAACAAGGACAAATGTCGTAACCTAAAAACANCATTTCCCCAAAAATGCTTTGTGCTTTATTGGAAATGTTGCTGATGAGTTGGAGTGGTAGCACTGTTCAGTTCCTCTTGGTTCTTTTGGTGTGCACATAAAGTAATAGAGCCGTATAGTGGGCAATAAAAGAGCACTTCATTTTTGAGTGTGAGTAACTAGTTTCATTGCGCTTCTATCAGAGGGGGTGTAAAGGTTCACTTCCTACATAAGAGACCGTTCTCATTATCCTAGACACACGGGTTAACGATGACTCAGCTCAGTTCTACGTACTTGTTTTGTCTTCAAGTCTTTTTTCTAGTAAAAGTTCTCCTCGTTGCTGCCCTGGAATGTGACAGACCTGACATCACTGACACAAAAATATCAGCCACAGTGAAAATGATTTCGCCATAACAGGCTCCATAAGGCTTCAATTTGAGGGATTATGAATAATTGACTGGGCTGTTCTGCCAACAGGGGACAGGGATTGTTCCACATTAATAGATTCAGGCTCCTTTCTGTTATCTGAAGTAGGAAATTGAATTTGGGTAATTATGGGAGGAGAAAGATCCACAGAGTCACAGTTAAACAATGTCATATTTTTCTTATTAGATTCTACATCACTCCATTGCCTCCGTAATGAATGTTTGAAATTAATGCGGCATTGTGCTATTCTGAGCCAGAATGGGAGCAGAGTTTGACCTGCAGGGACGCCAAAAAGATTGATCCTCTGAGGACCACGGTAAGAAGTCTCATATCAACCTGTCATGTTTTTTGTCCTGATGGTGGCCTGAGAGGAAAGGTAATGAGGTTGCCAACAGGACGATGAAGTCTCACAGGATCGCTGACGTCTACACTTGCACCAACGACTAACTTCTTCAGGGTGTCACTAAGATTAGCATCTGTTCGATACTTTCATGATACGTTTTCTTCATCACAGCCTAACTATGCTGGTTAAATTAAATGTTAAATAAAATTAAATCATGTTTATAAAAGTTTTATTTGCACAACTCAGCCTGCAGCCAGTCGTAATACAGGTTATAATCAGCAAGTAAATTAGTTGTTGAGAGTTTATTTTGTCTTTCATTCTGGCTTTGTCAGTTTTAGTTTTTAAATGATCTAAGCTGAATTTTAGCTTTTGTTAAACTTCAATTTAACTAGTTATCAAATGTGACTTTTAAGCTAACTGTTAGCTATATTTTCCATGCTTTTGACCTAGGCTACAATCCTCAACATTGCTATTTTCTCATCTCTGAATGTTTATAGTGAATTTAGATCATGTTGATCTAAATAATTAAATTGATTTTAGAAGCTAATAACACTGGCATTAGCTGAAATGCTAGTTGTCATTTAGCTTGTTGCCTACTTTGTGGCTACCTTTAAGCTCTGCTATACTTTGACAAAGATTGGTTATTTCTTTGATTTTGTTTAAACTATTTTTGGTTATTTATTTATTTTTAGCATTATTATTATCTTTTACGTTAGCTGTCATGTGTTAGCTTGGCATTTGAAAGAAAAAAAAATTAGGATGTGCATTTTCTGAGTAAATTTGAGCTAATTAATTTAACTACATTTTGCCATATTTGTCTTTTTTAACGACATATTTCAATACAATACAATACAATACAATACAAACCAAATGTCTTTGTTTTGTCAAACTTTCGGCTTTTCCTTAGCCTAAGTCAAGCTAGCACTTTGTTACTTGATGAATCTTCAAAAAATGGTTTAGTTGAAGTTCAAGTAGTAAAAATATCACCACTATCCTTCTCGCTTTAGTAAATTGGCTCAACAAACGGCTGTGTTCCGTCTGCTTGTTTAATAGACTGTTGTTCTGTGCCCTGCTGCACAGCATTGACTTACCTGTTTACTCATTCACATGCAGATGCAGTGACTTATTCAGTAACTGTGCAGTGATCATCTCTTCTTCTTCTTCTCTCCGTGTGTGTGGAGTCCAGAGACTGAGTGTGTTATCAGGGGCAGCAGTGCAGAGACAGAGCAGACATGGGTGGGAGCAGGGGGCCAGGGCTGGATGCTCTCAGAACATGGAGAGCGGCAGACGTGACTTCTCCCAGGGAGATAACTCTGTTCTGGGCCAGCAGAGGTGACATCATGACGGATGGAGATGAAGATGTGGGCGCAGGGGCCAGGAAACGTTATCTCCAACCTTGGCACCGAGTGGGACAGAGACACACTACTGCTAACCGATACACCACTCCAATGGACCTGAACAACAAGTCACATGCTGAACAGACACGGACACCACGGACCTGCCTGGTCTTACGGCAGAGACCAAGACTGGTGTGTACAATATGTGGCCCAGGGCCCAGACATGGCACATAAATAGGTTTTTGGTGGTCCATGGCCTATTCCAACAAATTGAGTTGATCAGTTCCTGCAAACTGTTGTGTCTCTGAGTACCACAATGATGACCAACATTAGAATATAGCAGCATAGGCCTTCCCTATTAGCTTCCACCACACAACAGGAGAGTTTATAAAGATGTTGAGAACTACAAAATATCACAGTTTTTGGCCAACCATTTACATGATTCCTTAACTACATCCACTAATGTTTCCTCTAAACACTGAATGTCTTTTGATTAGAATATGGTTCGATTGTAGTTAATGTGTGTGACTGCTGTTTCTTTCACTGACCCTCTGACCCGCCCAGTGAAAAAGTAGGCGCTACAGTAGGAGGTGGCCTTAAATCTCCAGAGAACTGGAGGCCGACACACAACAGATCACTATTTATGGAAAACTGTTGTGGTTTTGTCAGTTTTGCTGCACAGCACCAGGACTTGTGGTGAAAACAACGGTTCTCAGCGAGGAGCCCAGTTCATGCTGTAGGTCAGTACTGCATGCTGTCATACATATTGCATGAACTCAGTTGAGGGCATATTGGTATTCAGGAGAACCGCTCACCACACTCACTCTGTTTTTTTGTGTCATAGGCAATAACAGTTAGAGAGCAAGCTGAGCTTAACTCGTGTCACTGGGATGTTAAAGGTGTCTGTGATAAAGAGGTGTTAAATTAATTCAAGAGACAAAGCTTCATGCACTTGATTTAATGTTGTCCTGATTGCTTTTTAATGACAGCTCCACCATTATTCACAATTTAGAGCCTCTAATATTAACAAATTTGGGTTGGAAAATCACTCTGGCTTATGCGTATGCTCTTAAAACAAAAGTTTCTGCAGAGTCTGTAATATCTCACTTTATTCTGATTGTTTCTGCTCTAAACCAAACTTTGGTAGACAAAGATTAGGATAACGCTGCTGTGTTGGACAAAGAGGATAAACATCTAAATGAGCGCATTTAAAGTCTTCATTAAAAAGCATTTTCTATAAACAGCATCAGCGGCAGAGAAAGTAACGAGCCAACATTAATTAACATTTGTAGCTGCAGAACAGAATCTTCCTCATCTTAATTGGAAACACAAATATTCTTGTTGGATCTGCAGAGCTTCAGGGATTTGCAGATACATTGCTAATGTGTTGCTATTGTATGTATTGTGCAAACGTCATTCATAGCTAACCTTGAGATAGGCGGAGATGATATGGATCATTTTCATTCCATTTTATTATTATTATGTGTGCATTTCTGAATATTTGGCTAATGTTATGCTAATTATTTTTGTATTTAATATTATGTTCCCTTCTTTCTACTTGGATAACTTAGCAATGTATCCAAGTCATTTGTTTTCCGAATTACTTTTCACATTTTATTTGCTACACAGTTGGCTAACTTACGACTATTTCTGGGCTGAATACTGCTACTATCTACCAACTGTTAATCCTTCTGTTACTCACTTCACCAAATATTATTTTATTTAGTAAATTACCTTTTTTTAAGTGACCACTTCTGTGGTGAGAGAAACAACACATCACAGATTTCAGGGCAGACCCACAACGACAGCCATTCAGACTGGACATTGAACGTTATTATTTGTCAGAGCTACAGAAAACTCATTTTAGAGTTGATTTTTTTTTTTATGGCAAGACACCAATCCACAGAGATCCATGATCAAATTTAGGCAAATTCTATGCAAAGCCTCCAGGAGTCTTTTCATATCGACTGCACATCAATTTGTTTAACTCTCTCTAACTAATCACTGCTTGCTCTGAATTCCCCCACAGCTTAGGAGCTTTTATCTCACTGACTAATTGACAGTGAGGTCTGTTCTCACAGCGGCACTGTGCAACAGTTATTGATATAATGACGGCTGAACTGGGGATTAGATATGTAATGATGCAGGCAGTTTACATACAGTAAGTGTTTACTAATTTGTCATGGTTGGTTTGGTTTTGGCAGCCTCCCTACCCCTCCACACAGGGTTTTATTCCTCAGATCAGCGTAAAATGCAATCAAACTGAGGTGTCCTCTGACGTCCATACTGCCGGACATTAACTTTATTACCGCAATGCAATAAAAGCACTCAAACCATCATAACGCACTTTACTGTTGTGACCTTTGAGACTCTGTTTACTAAAGTTTGAGCAGTAGAGCTCACTTTGTTACAATCACAAATCACATTTTTGTAACCCATTACTTTAGAGAACTCTGAGAATGCTGAGTCACTCGTGGCTCCTGTCAAAGAACAAACACTACACCTAAATAGGATTTTACACTTGGTCAAACTGTGATAATCTGATGATGTTTTTTGAGACTAAACTTTTTTCATGGGTCACTGGATCAGATAATGTAAAAATACCCAAAGGTCTACTGCTCCTCCGATGACATTTAAGAATTATTCACAAAATACAAATGAATGTATAGGTTGTGCATTGGTGGCATACTTTCTAGAAAAGGGTTATATGTGAAAGATTGAAGAGCAAAAAATATAGCTTAAATTGAACCAGAAAAATGCATCAAATTGAGTCAAAATTATATGTCTTATATTCATTTTACAAGGCGGCATAGCTTAAAAAAAGTTAGCAAAATTGATGCTTGTTAAGATTTGTGAAAACATTTATTTAACCTTTGCAACGTATTCATTACATTAAGTTTCCATATCAAATGTTATTAAATGCTGTTGTTATGTTGTACTAAATGGAAAAGTACTGAAGGGTGGTGTGTGATATGGATAGCACTGACCGTCACGCTTGGAGAACGTTTTTACCTAAAAAAGGAGAACAAAAGAAAACCAAGAGGAAAATATATATATTATATACATATATATATATATATATATATATTATTATATAATATTTGACTCTTTGTTTGACTCTTTGTGTGTTAGGCAGCTAGGGTATGAACCAATAGCGTATCTTACAGTCCTACCTAACAGAGGAAGTATCCTGACAATGTTAAAACAAGCTAAAACCTGGCCAGACTTGGGTATGGGTCAATGTTTTGTGTAACAATATGGCTTCTGTCTACATTGCAGGTTTTACATGTATGTGACCCACGATGTGTCACCTCTTCAACATCCTGTTGGCTTTACTGAGCCGTTTCCTGTTTGCCGTCCACGGCGTGGTAACAGTGTGGCGTGTGGTGGTCGTTAAAGGGGAGCCTCTCTATTGGCTGTTGCTGACTGGCGTGGCTCTGCTGGGCGTGGAAATGGCCGTCACACTGAAGTGGACCAGGAATGCAGAGTGGAAATGGTAACATGCATGGATCTATCATCCATCCATCCATCCATCCATCCATCCATCCATCCATCCATCCATCCATCCATCCATCCATCCATCCATCCACTATGGACACAGTAATCCCAATGGTTCAGGGCAGTTTTTATATGGTGTGTCCACATTTAGTTTTTAATGTTCTTCTGTTAAACCCATCTGTCTGGAGCATCCACAGTCAGTCTTTGTAAGGTGCTTAATATTCTGTGCCTCAATCTCATTTTACCCAACATCTATCAAACCAAATATGCCTCCCTCTACTGTGTGGTTTCTCTGTGCTCTGTATATATTATCTTCATCACATCCAACACATCCTGCTGGCAGCAGACCGCTCTGACCAGCGAGGCTTTTTTAGTTGTTGTTTTTAATTGACTAAATATGATCGGGTGTCAATCTTAAAAAAGGACACAAGCTTTAGGTGTCACACCTCATTCAACACCGGGAGCATCTGGTTCAAAGGCTTTAGTTCTCAAGTGCACGGTGAGAGCGACATCCTCAGACACCAGCTTCCTCCAGGCCTCTCCATTTCTCACTGGGTCTTAACTTTGAAGTTCTCTCTTCATGATGGCTCGGCACTGTCAAGTGGGATTTGCATACATGATGAGAATAATTGCCAGGCTGAATTTCATTGCTTCTTTATGGTGTCTCTCTTTGTTAAGTTGACTTCTTGAAAAAATAAATAAAATAAAAAGACATCCTAAAAATAACCCAGTCACTGTGTTATCTCTTGTCTCCCCTCGGGGTCTTCTTCCAGGTTCTCCCCCATGGTTTTCCTTTACCTCAGCACTGTCATACCATCCATTTGGTTTCTGGAGCTCAGCTTGCTGCAGTCCAAGCTGCCTGTCCACAACTCCTCAGGACCCGAGCTTCATTTGCTGACTCACATCCCGATCACAGCGGTAGGCGTCCCATCACAAATTGAAAAAAAAAAAAAAAACTTGCTTTATTCTCCCCTCACCCTCTGCTCACAGCCATGAGGGGGAGCCTTGATATCAGATTAGAATTAAATCCAACAGACACAACTGGGAATTATTGATGGACACATAGCACCAGGCTCTCTTTCCATGGAATGACTTCAGTAGTGTAGGAGCAGGATTTGGAATTTTTTGCCCATTTGACATGTTCCAGGCCAGAAGGGGGGGACGTTTTGAGAAACAGCAATTTTTTGGGGGAAAATTTTACATAAAGAAGCATGATTTTAATGGAATCACATTCACACCACAAGGTTGTTGTAATTTATAAATAAATATAAATATAAAGAAAGACTGAGAAAAGACAATTATATATTTCAAACTCTTTGACAAATTTCCTGTTCTGATGTTTGTCTGACTCAGGGTATTGTGGAGTTGGAACCAGAGAACTGGGTTGCTGGACTAGAGCAAACCATGCTCATCGTGCTGGTTCTTGGCCGATGGCTGATGCCCAAGGGCGACATGTCGCGGGACCAACTGTCCCAGCTCCTCATGGTCTATGTCGGACTAGGGGCGGACATCCTGGACATCTTTGATACCTTCAAGGAACCCGAGGTGAAAACCAACCGCTCTGTCGTCATCGTGGGTCTGGCCCTCTTCTCGTGGGCGATCATGCAGTTTCCTTTGGTGCTCACCCAGAAGCAACACCCGAAGGGTGAGTCTCCTCATGGGGGATTGTCAGACCTTTTGTGCTGCTCTGGAGCTCCAGGGGTCTCCACCTCCTGCTGCTCTAGTGAAGTGTGGAGCTTGCTGCTCACTGTTGGACTTCAGGACGGCCCATTCCTGATCTACCGTCTCTACCTCATGGTTCAGGAGCAGGTACTGAACCAGCTCATGATCTTCTTCACCTGCAAGAACATCCTCATCGTTCTGCTGGAGCTTTACCGAATCGTTGTGGTTCAGTGTGAGCAGCAGGGAGCAGCTGGACTGGGTTTGGAGAAGTGCAATGCTCTGGAGCTCTGCCGTCACACCCACGGGGGTGAGGAGGTGGGAGAGCAGGAGCAGCCGGGGGACACAGGGAGAGAAGTGGGGGGTAGAGAACAGATCTGTCACACAGACACCGTGGGGGAGACGGAGGGGGAGGGAGATCAGAACAGTGCCAGGGCATGAAAAATGACTTTGGTCATCAGAGAGGTGATGGGAGAAAGGATGGGAGTTCTTTCATAAACTGCCACAGTTCGAACTCTTGGGGGAGTCAGTGGACGAAAATTGACCACTGTGGGAGTTAATAAGTCATCACCATGGAGATCAGACATTCTTTTGATCGATGACGCTGTGAGAAGAGGTTCCTCCACAAATGGAACAAAATCACAAAAAGAATCTCATCAACTATCTGCGTGTCTCGTATCAACAGAACTGGCACATCATTTTTTACCTTTTACCTGTTTACCTTTGATACCTCAGTAAAAGAAAATAACTTGTATGTTTTTGTTGTTTTTTCAAATAAAGTAGTAAAAATAATAATTCTATATATATTATGTATATTATATACTTTTATTTAAACGTGTGTATAACTGATTATAATGTGAGATTCCATTGTTCATTACTATATACCGTAATTGTCAGTAAATACGGCCCAGGTGTTATCATCACACATCCACCTTCATTATAAAGATGCTGCAGAAAAAAATATTTCGTGCAGTTTTCCTTCTTTCCTTAGATCACCATGAGATGGCAGTGTTGCCAAATCATGCACCACACAAACCCACGGTGTTTACTTGAGTGGAACATACATGCCATTTACAGAGACATTAAAAAAGGGAGAGCAGCAGCAGCAGCGCTGATGGTAATCATTTTTTTCCGCTTCCAACATGAAAAGCCCCTCTTTGGTACTTTGGCCTTTGGACGTAATGATTCAGAGAGGATGCAGGAAGTCATGTGATGCATTAAGTTGCGTGGTTTAGTCACCTCCAGGGCTGAGGCTAAATAATTAAGACTGATGTGCTGGAAGACGAGACACTACATTCAGTCTAACAAGTAGGAGGGAGGTGGAGACGTGTGCTTCATTTGTCCAGGTTCATTTTCCTCCCGAGCACAATCAGCCTGTTTGAGAGCTCGCTGCATTTTTATGATGTCTGAAAAAGCACACTCGTGATTATGTGGGAGTTGTTCAAGTTTGACATGATTTGCTCTCACTTTCTCTTGTGAGAGATGGAAGGTGCTTGGAGATATTCCTCCGTACACCATAAACGCCAGAGGTGCTCTCTTTGAGTCTATAAAGACTCAGAAATGTTTAAACAGACGCTCAGAGTCTCAAGGTTTTTTTTTTTCCGAAGCACTTCACGGCAGCGAGAAAAAAGACACCAAAAAGTCCCTTACCCCTGCACTCCCATCCTCCCTCCCTCTCTGGCTTCCCTCCAGACAATACCTCTCCTGTCAAACAAGGAGCAGAATGGAGCACTCCTACATTTATGGATGACCCTCTCGTTCCATGTCTCCAAACCGTGTTGGGCAGACTGTGAATGAGTAGCAGCAACATCACTGAGTGGCAATTCAATCAGAGGCCTTTCTAGTGCCATTCTGTATCCGTGTCCATCAAACTGCTGGCCTGTGAGATGATGATGGTGACAACGACGGGAGCAGAGGCTCTGAGCATGTTAGCTCTCTGCTGATGTCAATAAGCTCATGATAGAGAGGGACAGAGGAAGAAATAAGTTCTGTGGAGACTTTTGTCCCATGAGGTAAGGATTTGCTTAGTTTTAAAAAAAAATAATATACAGTACATTGTTACTACTTCCAGGGCGCTGGCTTAAAGTTAATGTTTGCAGAAAAATTAGATGAAAATGATATAATATAAGAAAAATAGCGACTGGAGTAATTTAAAGAGTCAGGATAGTCATGCTTTTCTTGGATTTTTAACTTTTTTAACTTATCTATTGCTTTAACTTTGTTTTAGGAGTAGTTATAAAATGCATGTGAACATGTTTTAAAAACACATTGTTTTCTTTTAGAGACAGAGAGTGTTAGAGAGTGTTCTGGTCATTTCAGCATGAAATGACCAGAACACACATATAACAAAATAATCACATTTTCAACAATGCACAAGTCCCACTCAAAGAAACACACCAAACCACCATCATAACAATTTTATCTCTTGCACCTTTTAGTGGCAGCTCGCACACACCAGGGGAGCGCCTTGCTACATACTACATATACAGTATAGCTAGATTGTTGTCCCATCGTACTAAACTCATGTACCAGGGCAAGTATTCTGCATTTATAGCACCCCCTGCAGGATAATATATAATAGCCAGATTTAGCTACAGTAACAAAATCCATTCAAGAGAAAAACTCAGGACTGTGTTTCTGTAAAAAAAAAATATTTTTTTAGCATGGTCTGAGGGTGTTTCCTAAGGTCAAACAGTCATTCTGTATGAGAGCGCAGCTTCATGTCAGGATCTGGTTCTCAGGGAATCAATATATCCTGGTGACAATGTGAGGTGGGCAACACAATAGGCTGATGAAAGAGCTGCTGGCTTGTGATGGGACTCCTTTCCCCTTCAGATTAACTCTATGGTTTTATGCTTTAACAAGATTCCGTAGGCATGTGGGAGGATGGGGACGTCAGCTGATCCATAAGCTGCCCTACATAGATAGAGAAAAAGAGTGTGAAAACCCTTCCCCTCCTTCCCCTCCTCTGAGATTCTGTTTTTTTTTCCTCTTCTTCCCTGACTCTCCTCGGCTCAAGTGTTTGCAGACTCTCAAATGTTGTACCTAAAATCTGCTGAGGCCACTTTTCCAATTTGTGATTCTGAACCCTTTGTGCTTCAACCATCATTTACACCAAGGCTGTTTTTATTTTCCCAGTTTTTTCCCCCACAACACTATTAGTGCGCCTTCCTTTTCTGGTCGTCGTGCGTTTCATCTTCTTGATGCTGCAGTCACTTGGAATTACAGCATTTTCCTGTTGTTTGTCTATCAAAATGATTGTGGCAGCAGTGGTCCCTAGCTCATTTGACTTGGAGACCCCTGCCTCATTGCAGGATGATTACAGTTACGTTGTTTTTTTTTTTTTTTTTAAATTGATCCCCCCCTTTTTCCTGTATGACGTTTGCATCTGGATGGATGGATGGATGGATGGATGGATGTCCTCTCCTAGAGACTCCATCTTCAGTACATCAGAAAGAGTTTAGAGACAAGAGGATGAGATACCAGAGACGGAGAAAAAGATTTACCAGACACTACTACCAAATGTTACTTGTCACGACTGCTGCACCACCTTGCTACTTCTGTTTTAATAAACAGATTGTTCAGCAGCCGGCTCTCTGGGTCTGTGCCTGGAGCTCCTTTAAAATGGTTTTTGGATGAAAAATTTTCACAAAGCTCCTCAAACAGCCCCCAGAGCCTTCAGCTCTCGGCCATTCCAACAACAACAACAACAACAACACAAAAAGTAATAATAATAATATTGTGACTGCATCCACTTATTGAAAAAGTGACTGTTAGCATCCTTTTTTTATATATATTGCATTCAACTCAATTATACATATCCACCACTTAGCAATACACTTAGCCAGCCACAGAGACCTGACCGGACAGTCTTTGCTCACATCATATCACTGCAGCCTGTAGGGGGAAACACGTATTACTCTACATGTATTTGTAATTTAATTGCTCTTGTCCATGTGTTACATTTCCAGTCATTTAGTAAAGTAATATTACAGTTTGATGTTATTATATCACTATCATCAACATAAATGTCAAAATGAATTCAATATCAGTACTTGTGATAAAACCATGTTTTAAAATCAGCTTTGTTACAGACAATTAAAAATAAAACTGATTTTATCAAGTTCTTTTTTTAAGGCCAGGAATTAATGTTCAGTCTGACTGAACGGTTTATTACACTGCCTGAAACTAAACGCCTCACAGTGAACCTGATTGTTTTGGGTCGTCCAGGAGCTGAGGGCTGTTACTTTTTATTGGAACGGTAATAAACACAGAAAACGTTGTTCTATCAATGATAATACGTTTACAATGCTTAAAATTCCAAGTTTTTCATTACACACTGACTGTAGAAGCAATGATGATACAAAAACACAGAGTTTGGACAGTGTTGCAGAAGGTGTGCTCAGAAAATACCATTTTCCACTAAACACCACCATTTCTCAAGTTTGTACCAAATAATCCGGAGACGGCGCGGTGGACAATGACACGTCCAGCCGTGAAAGCAAAATGTTACCGCAGGAGAGTAAACGTGGAAAACAAAAGGCAAACTTCAAATAAATGCTGCAACCTTGCTGACAATCAGCTGAGGATCCAGCTCCTGCTGACTCACGCTGGATGACAAAATAATGAGCTTTACCTCTCAGGGTAGGATTCTGGAGGAGTCCACAGTAAATAATGGCCTTGATTTCATGTGGAAGGGGATTTTGTCCAGTTTTGTTGCTGCCCAGGTCTCATTTATGACAAATGATGAGTTTTGGTTTCATTACTGCCTTTGTGACATTATCATGGTTCCCGGGGTCAGTGGAACTCATCACAGCGTCGGTCTCCCGTGGCAGACGTCCAAGAACAACCAGGGTCCAAATTAAAGCCATGTAAGCTTCTGATAATGAGCAGCAGGATGAGCGCTCTGGAGGCTTTCTGTGAAAGTTTTAAATAATAAGATTCCTTTACCTCAGATAAATACACTCAAAGTATTTTACTTTTAAGGATGAAAGAGCCAAATATTTGGTGGAGCAATATTTTTCAGTGGGAAAAGAAAATTCGGTTTGCTTAAAAATACGTTTTTTTTTCTCATATGGCAGTGTTTGATCAGTTATAATGTGGAAAGTTTTGAGTCAAAGAACTTTCTTCGACTGTTTCTTTTTCCAAAGCCAGTTTAACTCCTGATTCAATGACAAACCAAATCTGTTAAAACATTCAGCTGCTAAGATGTTCTCTTAGCCTTTTTTATATTCATTTACTTTTCTGTTAATTGCGTTTAAAACCATTTTCATTCAGAATGCAAATGCGATCAGCAACAGTGAAATCTTTTTTCTTTCTAAAAACAGCCTTCACCGCCTCCTTCCATATAACCATTATGGAGAAAGCAGTGACAGTGAGCGCTTTTGTCAGTCAATCTCAGGTCACAGAGCATGTAGTGTTGAAATATTAATTAGCCATTACTTATGCTGTCCCCCAGTCCCCTCTAATCTGGGAAAACTGCCATTTTTTTCTGTTTCAAATCGACAACATGGCCCGTGGTCATGGAGGCCCAGGCAACGTCAGGACACGAGCGCTGCTTTAGGAACACAGTCAAAAGGCTGAGCGGATGACACATTTAGGACGCTTCAGAACAACCAGTGAACAAGCACATTTCTGACTTGGGCTCTTACGTACTTTGAGCTGCAGTATGCGTCTTGTGATATACCACGTCGTGATGCAGATGTCCTGAATCTGTCTGGTACTATAGAGACCAGCCCTGACCTATTTGCATTACATATACTCATATAGTGTCCAAATATACACAGCACATAGCCTGGAGTTCT